CGTTGAATGTGAGCCAGGAATCGACGAGGAACCCCAGTGTTTTGCTTGCTTTCCCCCTTGCCTACTCGTGTCCCATCTCAGTTTGTGTCGCCTAGCAACTCTCTCTATGTATTGCCGACCTCTTGTCGTGGGTTTGTCTAGAGGGAGCCCTTGGTGACAACTAGAGGATTTACGCCACTCATGTACGAGAAGAGGTAGATTTCTGGTGCAGGTTGCGGATATACCTAATCCTGAAGAGTGTCTTGGTGGGGAGGGGGGGTTCCTTGGTCCATGTAAACTCGCTCTCGGCAGGAAGGGCCTACCTAGGCCAAGAGGAAGTCACCGATTAAAGGTATTCTTTTTTTCTACTTCGGCGGCCCGTATGCACCTTCCTTGGGGATACTGTTGAAGGCGCTCACTATATCCTTACCTGGCAGCGTGGCGTGGAACTTGCTACTGCCCATTCGGCCTTCTCGACCGTGATCATCAGAGCATCCATAGCTGAGCGATCTTTCCCAGATCCGTACTGGATGAGAAGAGCGCTTGGAAAGTCTGGAATTTTGGGGCAATCACGATTGGTCTCCACCCTTTTACTAATGTATGATCCTTCGATCATGACCATAATTAAGTTTCTCCACTAGCAGGGATAGTATGCCCCCCGCCGATATCGTTGACGAGTGCTTTACTCATGTTGGGGTCCTTGATCAGATTGAGGCTGGTCCCGTCCTTGCCTTGGGGGACGAGGAGTTATTGGGTCCCGCTAGGGTAGCTGGTGGAGGAAGAGGGAAGTGGCGATGGGTGATGGTTGGTTGTGCGTGAGCATGCTGACGAGTTAAAGGCGTGAGATATAATGGGAGAGGCTATAGATAACATAAACCGGGGGTAACATTCAATGTGAGTAGGGCATCCTGGGCCCAGGCTATGTGGTACTATTGCCGGTAGGTATGCTTAGGTCTCCTCACGGTCTCCCCTAACTGGACCGCATAGAGTATTGAGTTTAATTTTTTTAAAAAAAAAAAAGGTTATGCTTAGGCATTACCCTGAACACGAAACAAAAATTTATGCTTCTATCGAATCCAACCAAGCTAGACAAGATAAGAAAGACAGGCAAAAAAGAGAAAAAAAAAACCGGCCCAGATCACCCACCCTCTGCTTGAAATCAACAGGTACCTACGCAGTGGGGTCTTCTTACCATTAGACCACTGTGCCATTTTTGAGGTGTGGCAGTTGAGGGAATTGACTTGGCTTGGCTTGCTGAACCCCGTTGGTGGCTATGTACCAATTACTTGGTATTCGTATTCGTGTGTGAGGGGGTGAAAGCCAAGTGATAGATCTTAGCCCAACTAGGTACCTCAGAAAAGGCACAGTGGTCTAATGGTAAGACCTCCACTGCGTAGGTACCTGCTGATTTCAAGCAGAGGGTGGGGATCTGGGTTCAATTCCCAGCTGAGCCAGTTCTTTTTTTTTTGGCCTTTGCCAGATCATTTCATTTATCCACCAGGAAACGGGGAAAAACCCTGTCGACTAAAACCTAAGCTTCAAAACACATATCCTGGAACGCACCCAAAAAGCAGCCAAGATCATCAATGTTATCAAACACCTATTGAATTGAATCAGGCCCAAGGAGCAGCATGTTCCCTATAAACAGGTATGAGTTGCCCATTTTTCACTTGGGGCTCGGGGCTCTGGCATGGTCAATCAGACGTGGACTCTAAACGCCTACCGGCCACGAAGAGGTTTGAATACCAGGCCGTAAAGAGATTTACAGGGCGAGATGATGGCACGGGTGAACTATACAGCGAGGACGGGGGAGGGAATAAGGCTTGAAGAGGGCCTTTACCAAGGTCCAGGGCCACTGTAGCGGACAGCTAACGGGCAGGCATACTCTTCACCCTCCAGGCCCACCAGGAATTCTCAATGTTACTCATCCTCACGGACTCCATAGACCCTTTCCCATGGGGCGGTTCCGAGGTCCGACATGAACGCTAGATCAAGAAGCTTCTAATAGCCAGAGCCGATCTCGACACAGGTGTAAGCTGGATCAAGAGTCACATAGGGTACCCGGGGAACGAGAAGGCAGACCGCTGGCCCTCACATAGGCCTACCTCATATCGCCCTCGGGCCTCGGGCCCGGGCCCCATAGCAGGCTCCGAGAGACCACTACTGCAGAAGGGCTCAAACAACTTTCCAGAGTCAGGCGCGCAAACTCAAGAGCTGTTAGTGGGTTTGGCAAGATCGAAACTGTACACCCTCTCCTATGGACCAAGACCAACCGAGGCCCGGCTCAACCCATAGCCTAAGGCTTCATAGACATATAAACTTAAAAAAAAAAAAAAAAAGCGGGCACTGGCATACCACATTAAAGAATTCCACTCGCTCCATTACCTTTTCGCAATAAAATCGACACTTATCCTCGCACTCCAGGCAACGGCCATTACACTGGTACCTATAGAAGTGAGCCCTCCAGGCGATGTTCGAGTCCATTCTCGGACAAATAGCCTCATCCCAAGGGACAGCAAGTGCCAGCACCCTGAGGATGTTAGAGACAATGGGGGGCCCATATCGTCTTCCCCTGCGCCAGACACCAGGCTGGAGAGAATGCAGCTAATCAACTCCTGGTATGGCCTCCATCGACCGACCGATTTTCAACGCTTGGCTGGCCATGTTCTCCTCAACTATATCTGACCCTGGGCCAACAAACCCCTGGGTGGGTCAAACCCGAGGATAGATAGATAGCCCTTTCCCAGAGCACTATAAACCTTAGACCACGAGGTAGCAAAGTACATTACACCACCCCTCTCTACCTCATCCCAATATCACAAGCTAACCGAAGACCATCCCACAATATGAAACCCACAACCGTCCAGTGTACTTCATGCAGGTACACAGGCACTCCTGTGAGTAAGACCCACTGCAGCCGCTGCGGCGAACCCTTACATCCCAAGCACCTACGGTAACGGAAAAAGACAAGGTTCCGCGACCTCGATCGACCAAGATGGATAAAAGACAATCAGAACCTCCTAGCTCTGCGGTTTGCTCGAGGTGAAATTTAAGGGGGTGCTTTTCTATTTACAGTAGGACTCAATGAAGTAGTTAGCTAATACAATTGCAGTTAAACATCTTCATTTATGCTTTTTCATGTGACAGGCTCGTAAGTTCGGGGTAATCTTTTTCTTTTTCCTTTTCTTTTTTTTTGGGGGGGCAAGCATATTATTTCAGGGTAACGTCTATGACTGCAGGACAAACCATCATATTTCTACTTTCATTTCATAAAAAACAGACGCAGAAACCGAAACCTCCATAGATCGATATTATAATATTACCAGTTTCAAAGACCAAAGGGCTATATACTGTACTCACATGTATATAATATGCTAGATAAGTATGGTATATATCAGCACACCACGAATTTCCCGCAATCACTTATTTCACAATTTATATCTCCCCCCAAAAAAACCTGAAACCTTTCTATCTACCTACCTAACTCCCAACAACACAAAGCTAAAAGCAATTAAATCCAAAATGCCATTACACCAAGCTAAACTATACAACAGAAAGCAACCTAACCCGGTTCATATCTCAATCTCCGCTAAATCCCATCCCCAATAACGCCTACCCCCCCGCCCAAGCCCACCCATAAGCCCTCTTTCTCCCTCTCCCTCTCCTCCACCACGCCCTTCCTTCCCCCTCCTCCACTCCTAACCGGAATCCCCCCTCTTCCCACTTTCCCACCAACCTCCTCCTTCTCCCCATCCTCCTCTCCATCCTTTAACTGCACTAACGCCTTTATCTCGCCCATCCTCGCTTCCACTCCCCCGAGGAGGATGCCGATTTGGAGAATGAAGATGATAACGACGGTGAAAAAAATCTAACCTAGGAACAAGAGACTTCCCAACTGCAGCAAACGAACAAGACTTTGACGCGAGCAAAGCAGAGCTCTAGCGGGCAGTGGTTGGATGGGAGTCACCTGAAGATGAGGAGGCGCTGGCTCCCAATTGAGGCTTATGACTTCAACAGAGGAAGGGAGAGGGTGGAGTTGTGCAGCGACCGGTAATGGATTTCTTCTTTTACCTTTTTCGACATTTCGCACCCCCATACAGCTTTATACAGGTGGCGGGTCTTTTACGGTTTGAATTGAGTTGAGCGAGTTGATAGTTGGCCCGTTGTTCCATGGGTGTACCGAGTCTTTTAAGATGAAGGAACGGGGCCGTCTACATAGGCAAGGCTGACTCCCCCTCCTGTCCTCACTGTAAATCCCCAAAAGAGACGGAGATCACATCGTCTGGGATTGCCCAAGATACAGACACCTACGCAGAGACGCAGAGAGTTCATTCCCGCAAATCTCTCAAGGGGAGCTTTTGATCACCCGATATGAAGGAAAGACGATGAGAACGAGAATAGTTGGGAGAGAGTGGAAGGCTTTCTTCGGAACTCTCTGCAGCACGATCAGACAGTGCGTAGTCAAAGCGTTTCTCCCTGTTGGTTTTCATTATTTTTTTCAAATAGAGTGCTTCTCCAATTTAGTTTTGATATCACCTTTCAGGCAGAGCGATTTTCCTCCGTTACTTCTCCAGAAGACTCTTTCCACAGAGCAATATAGCATTTTCCTCACACATCATGGTACGCGCGGGCGGCAGAATAACTTGCTTGAACTTTGAATTCCGGGGCTCGCCATACCGTCCCAACGGGTTGTAGTACTGAGTTTTAAAAAGATTTATGCAAAACGGGACTATCTACTCTCCTTCTCTAATTCTGAAAAGGGAGAGCAACTTGTAGGTCTGGAGGTCGAGGAGCAAATGAATCAGGAGATTCTATAAACCAATATCGCAATATACTTCAGGCTCCAATATGGGTGGTCAATGGGCGGTCAGCAAAGAGGTACATCTGTGAACACAAATTTGAACACAAATATCTGAGTGATCGTTGGGAGGTTTTGAAATAAGTCTGCTCAGAAACCATGCTTCCGGGAAGCTAGGAGATCTTAAGTAATGATTTCGTAATAAGGGCAAAAAAAAAGGAAATGGCTCAGCTGGGAATTGAACCCAAATCACCCACCCTCTGCTTGAAATCAGCAGGTACCTACGCAGTGGGGGTCTTAACATTAGACCACTGTGCCATTTTGAGGTATGGCAGTTGAGGGAATTGACTTGGCTTGGCTTGCTGAGCCCCGTTGGTGATTACTTGGTATTAGTATTCGTGTGTGAGTGGGCGTAAGCCAAGTGATAGTCTTAGCCCCAGTACCTCAGAAAAGGCACAGTGGTCTAATGGTAAGACCCCCACTGCGTAGGTACCTGCTGATTTCAGGCAGAGGGTGGGTGATTTGGGTTCAATTCCCAGCTGAGCCAATATTCTTTTTTCCTTTTCCTATTTTTTTTCTCTGGCGCAATACTAATGAAAGGGAGAGCTCGCAGTGGGATTATGATATGTAACCAAATAGTACATAAGTAAGGGGATCATTTGATTTATTTTTGTGAAAATCTTTTGCGTTTTCCTAGCGGAAGTTGATGAGTCCTACTGCACCAATGAAGTTGGTGCAACAAGTCTGAAGATCTATGAATTGAAACAGTACTACGATTTATTGGGAAGTTTTGAGGATGAGTCTACTCAATGAGAGTGCCGATGGCGTAGAACTACTGAGGGTACTCGGGATTGGCCAACGAGCTTGCTGCCTACGAGGCCCAGGAGGTTGAGGTTGAGGGTTAGGCGGAGGTGTAAGTGTCCGCAGTATAGTGCCAGTACAGCAGTAGAGCGGAAGGAGTTATAAGGGATAGAAGGACCAGTACATCAAAAAAGGCACAGTGGTCTAATGGTAAGACCCCTACTGCGTAGGTACCTGCTAATTTCAGGCAGAGGGTGGGTGATCTGGGTTCAATTCCCAGCTGAGCCAGTTTTTTTTTTTTGGCCTTTGCCAACCAAATACGAGATCATTTTATCCTCGGTATTATAGTCGACTCCAACCTAAGATTCATAGCCATACCTGCAACGCACTCAGAAAGCAGCCAAGATCATCAATGTTGTCCATCACCTATCGAATGGAATCAGGCCCAAGGCAGCATGCTCCCTATAAACAGGCATGATTTGCCCAATTTTCACTTGGGACTCGGGGCCTCTGGTATGGTTAATCAGACATGGACTCTACACGCCTACTGGCCACGATAAATTACAGGGACTTCACGACTTCACAGACAGCGCACACTCCAAGCTAGGTCTTATAAAATGCATCGAGCCCCTAGAGGACAAACTGCACGAAAACCTCAGTCAGATGGCTCACCAGAGCCATTCGAACAACACCCCGGCCATCAAACCTTTCTTAGACAGTCTACCTAGACACCCAATTGAATTCTCGTTCGAAGATGCAACTGATCACCACTAAGCACCCACTCATGACGTGTGCATGCTCGAGAACGCTCGAGACACAGGAATACAGGCCCGCCAAGATCTCGCGGGCGAGTTGATGGCACGGGTGAAACTATACACTTACCATTCATAGGCCACTGTGCCATTTTTGAGGTATGGCAGGCAGTTGAGGGGGTTGACTTGGCTTGCTTGGCTTGCTGAACCCCGTTTGTAGTCTCAAAAAAAAAAGAAATGGCTCAGCTGGGAATTGAACCCAGATCACCCACCCTCTGTCTGATATCAGCAGGTACCTACGCAGTGGAAGTCTTACCATTAGACCACTGTGCCTTTTCTGAGGTACTTGCCCAATTCCCTTGTGTTCAACGGGTTGGGGTTTATAGCTCCCTCCGTTACCTGACTCTTGATGGCTTTGTCAGCTCCCATGCCCGCCAGACTACCTCGCAACATGTGATGCCATGCTCTCCACAGCCGAACCAGACTACCACAGCCGCTTTTTTTTTACCCCACGAACTCTACTTATCTTAGTCAATGACATTTGCGAACTGAACTGATACTACTAATAGGTTAGGCTTATTTTTTTCCAAGTTCCCACTTATATCGAAGTAGATTATTGGTGTTCCAATTACATTTCATGAATTCAGGGTAACATGCCCACTTGTCATGTCACACATTACATCAGCCTCTCCATCTTAGAACCGGACTCTCACGTAAGGTTTTTCAGGGAAAACTTCTTACGCTTAGCCATCCAAGTTAGAAAAGATAAGAGATAAGGCAAAAAAGAAAACTGGCCCAGCTGGGATTTGAACCCAGATCACCCACCCTCTGCCTGAAATCAGGAGGTACCTACGCAGTGGGGGTCTTACCATTAGACCACTGTGCCTTTTTTGATGTACTGGTCCTTCTATCCCTTATAACTCCTTCCGCTCTACTGCTGTACTGGCACTATTCCTCTAAGTACTGCGGACGCTTACACCTCCGCCGTCTCGTAGTCTAACTCTCAACCTCGACCTCCTGGGCCTCGTAGGTGGCAAGCTCATTGGCCAATCCCGGGTACCCTCAGTAGTTCAATGCCATTGGCACTCTCATTGAATACATCGTAGTACTGTTTCAATTCATAGATCTTCAGACTTTGAACCAACTTCATTGGTGCAGTAGGGCTCATCAAGTTCCGCTAGGAAAACGCAATGGAATTTCACAAAAATAAATAAAATGATCTCCCTTACCATTTGGTTACATATTCTCAGGTTATTAGAGTCTGGGCACGAGAACAGTTACATATCATAATCCCACTGCGAGCTCTCCCTTTTATTAGTATTGCGCCAGAGAAAAAAAATGGGAAAAGGAAAAAAAGAATATTGGCTCAGCTGGGAATTGAACCCAGATCACCCACCCTCTGCTTGAAATCAGCAGGTACCTACGCAGTGGAGGCCTTACCATTAGACCACTGTGCCTTTTATGAGGTACTTGCCCAATTCCCTTATTCTTCGACGGGTGGGTGTTTGTAGCACCCTCCGTTACAATCGACTTAAGGCTGACTCTTGATGGTTCGTCAGCTCCCACAACTACGAGCTACGTAGTCTCATGCCAAGCGAGCTACGAGACTTCTGATGCCACACTCTCCACAGCCGCCTTAATAATGAAACCCACCAACTCAACTGTAGCCTGGTTGCTGAGCTCTTAGTCAATGACATTTGCTAACTGAACTGATACTAGAAATAGGGTAGGCTTATCTTTTTCCAAAGTTCCTACTTATGTCGGAGTAGATTTCTTTAGGTTTTGGTGTTCCAATTACCTTTTAATGAATTTAGGGTAACATGTGGTCAGGTACTGTAACATGTCTACTTGTCATGTCACACATTACATCAGTGTCTCTATCTTGGATCATCGTACAGTCTTATATATTGTGTAGGCAAAAGTCTCCACACACCTCCTATATAGAACGCAGCACCCGCTATTTCTAACATACAGTAGTGCAATTGAGGAGTGCATGAAGACTTTCTCTCTTACATTGTAGCTGATAGAACCGGACTCTCACGTAAGGTTTTTCAGGGAAAACTTCTTACGCTAAGCCCAGACGTCTGTCTACTGGATCCAAGTTAGAAAAGATAAGAGATAAGGCAAAAAAGAAAACTGGCCCAGCTGGGATTTGAACCCAGATCACCCACCCTCTGCCTGAAATCAGGAGGTACCTACGCAGTGGGGGTCTTACCATTAGACCACTGTGCCTTTTTTGATGTACTGGTCCTTCTACCCCTTATAACTCCTTCCGCTCTACTCTGTACTGGTAATATTCCTCTAAGTACTGCGGACGCTTACACCTCTGCCGTCTCGTAGTCTAACTCTCAACCCCGACCTCCTGGGCCTCGTAGGGGGCAAGCTGGTTGACTAATACTGGGTACCCTCAGTAGTCTATGTCATCGGCACTCTCATTGAGTAGACTCATCCTCAAGATTTCCCAATGCATCGTAGTACTGTTTCAATTCATAGATCTTCAGACTTTGTACCAACTTTATTGGTGCAGTAGGACTCATCAAGTTCCGCTAGGAAAATACAAAGGAATTTCACAAAAATAAATAAAATGATCTCCCACTATTTGGTTACTTACATATCATAATAATCCCACTGCGAGCTCTCCCTTTTATTTAGTATTGCGCCAGAGAAAAAAATGGGAAAAGGAAAAAGGAATATTGGCTCAGCTGGGGATTGAACCCAGATCACCCACCCTCTGCTTGAAATCAGCAGGTACCTACGCAGTGGAGGCCTTACCATTAGACCACTGTGCCATTTTTGAGGTATGGGAGTTGAGGGAATTCACTTGGCTTGGCTTGCTAAGCCTATTGGTGGCTATGTTCGAATAAGATTTTAAGAAATGATCTTGTTATCAAGGCCCCAAAAAAAGAAATGGCTCAGCTGGGAATTGAATCCAGATCACCCACCCTCTGTCTGAAATCAGCAGGTACCTACGCACTGGGGTCTTACCATTAGACCACTGCACCTTTTTAAGGTACTTGCCAAATTCCCTTGCCCTCAAGGGTGGGGTTTGTAGCTCCCATCGTTACAATCGACTTCAGGCTGACTCTCTCCATGGGCTTCGTCAGCTCCCACACAACTACGAGACTGCGAGACTACCTCGCAACATCTAATACCACATCTCCACAGCCGTCTCAAATAACACACAACCCACGAACTCTAGAACTCCTAGTCCATACCATCGCCAACTCACCTGCGGCACTCCAGGATACTAGCAATTGAGCAGGCCTATTGTAGTGAATTTCACCATGCAACTCAGTTTAAATTGTTCGAATTTCCCCCAATGAGTTCAGGGTAATGCGTTTCATCAACCTATCTTGGAGCCGTTTTGATGTTCGTAGGCGACGCTTACATAGATGGGTACGGGCAGAGATAAATTGAATGGCAGCTGGCCTCCTCAGTGAGGCCAAGGAGGTGGCCGTGACAGGTAATCATTGCACTAGCCCAGCATAGCGACACCGGCAGGCATTATACAAGCTTTCAGGATCCACTACAACAACCTGAGGGGGCTAATACTGTATACATAATCACTGACAAAGGCCCCCTAAAGTATTGGCGATATCAACTTGGGAAAGTGAGGGCTGGCGCTGTACTTGTGCTAGTCTTGTGGGGAGGCTCAGAACGCAGCACACATGCTCCAGTGCCTGGACATGGGAGACGGCAAAGGCAGGAAATGGGAAGCGGTCTGGAATGACCTGAATAATTTCCTACGTTGAGATTGCTCTGTAG